TTAGATTAATGGAACTTGATCGGTAAAACTAGATCAGTACTAAAGATTGGAAAAATATAACTCTGGCCAATGTAATGATTATTCATTTGATAAACAGTATATAATATGAATACACTTAGACGATGCAAAAATCAAATTTTGATGCGACTATAGAATTTCATCCATAAGTGGTAATTTAATTAACTAAACTGACACCAAAACACTAGTAAATCTTGTACACAAGTGTATGATGATCATTTTTAGACTGAGCAACAGAGTTTATCTACTGTACCACAGAAATTGGCGAATTTGAAAACAAACAAAAGAGATTTTTAAAATTAATTCACAATCGTAGTTACTAACTGGTCAAAATTTTAATACAGACGAGTCCTTCAGTTATTTAGTCAGAGAGCCATCAGTTTTAGTAGCTAGTGTCTTGTCACTGAATCACTGGATCTAAGTAAAATTTGTGCTGTATTCAGATTTTGTTCATAAGTTTGATGTGCACACAAACCTGCTGCATGTTTTTTACTTAATCATCGTCATCGGAAATCATCTTATTGCCAAACATAATTCGACATCCTATTTAATTATTGATTGCGCTATTTCTATATTCAGTTGGCTTTTTCCCCTTTCTCATTCGAACACTAACATAGTGGGATGAATAGTACGAAAGTATAACTCTCAAGACTATTATACTACTTATATTTCTATTGTATAATTAGTCAACGATTTTATAGAATCGTATTTATAAGCTTTCGTTTGATTTATAAATCTTTGTCATGTCTTATTACTCCAGATTTGGAATCAATAAATTATTCTTTTATTACCCTGGTTTTGCATCGTTGAAGACTAGGTTGTGTACACCAGTACCTGGTATACATCTTCGTCCATTTTTTTCCATAAAAATTAGGTTTTAATCATACATGTCGATAATGAAATGTAGGAGAATGCGGCGTTACTACAAATAGTGTGATGACATAGGATCTAAACTATATAAATTTATGACATTCTTTAATGGGGTTCAACATTGACCTTGATGAGAACAATAAGAATTAACAAATTCTCTATTGTTTAATATCGTTATCGAAACAAAATGGTTTTGATGAGAACACTGCAAACTATACATTAAATGATCTGTAATTTTAATGGGATTCGCGTTACGAGGTTAAGAATTGTTACAAATAATTATAAAATAAAACCTGAGAGTTGAAAGCCCTTTACAGAATTACGATGCATAATGGTAACGAAAAATAAAACTCCACCATGAAAACGTGGTTACATCTCATATTCAAAAAAAAACCTGCTAAGTAGATTGACGAATTATTAATGTCAGTCAGTCAGTCATTATGAATACAGTGGTCTTGAGTGCTGTTAGTGGTATGAGAACGGTTATCACTTCCAGATTTCCCACACCGTGGAACGGTTTTTCCGGAAGTGCCTGGAAAGGAAATCGGATTACAGGTGGTCCTACTGAACTGAGAGCGTGACCGCAATGCCCAAGAGACAACTGCTTGAAGTCGGTCACACACGACCTTTTTATGGGTAATTTTTGTGTTAGCTCCGTACTTGTTGAGACCTTACCGCCGGAGACGGATATCCGTGGGATAAGGCGAGGTGTGCATTTTTAGGGTCGACCTTTTCTAACCCCACCCCTCCTTGTGGGAAGGCAGCATCGCTGTCATGCTGGTTGTCTGAAGGAAACACGTTACTGCTGTCACACCCCTCTACAGACAGCAGTACGACTTCGCCCTCAGACCTTGAGCTGCTGCTTTTAGTCTTACCGTTCTCCAATCGACCTGCCTGGCATGGTAGAACCTACAGGAACATATGTTCCAGCCAGTGTAGCTCGGTAGGCAAGCCCGACCACCACGTCAATGTGGCAACAACGGTCGGGAATTATTAATGTTTATCTTTTAAAGAAAATTCTCCTACCTATGTGTAGAACATAGACAAGCACATCATGTATTTTAATTAGTTGATTTCAAGGGCATGATAAAGAAAACCTGGTTTTCATTTAGACTACTGGTCAAAGCTAAAATTTTATATCCGATTTAGTCGTCAATTTTAATGAAGTTACAATAAACATCCTGTGAATCATTCAAATAACCGAAATAAATAATTTTCTTTTTAGTCAGTTCATAATAATTCCATTAAAACAAGTATACATATATGTACATATATATTACACTCACTTTATCTACACGTTTCTTCTTCGGATGAAAAATTCCCAAACTTAAATTGGTTTGATGATCTTTCGGTTTTACTGATGTCGATGATGATTGTGATAATGGTTGATATAAATTAGTAGTAAATGATAAATTTCTATAAATTAAGCGACTACTATTATAAGTTTGAATAGTAGTACTATTCATTCTAATACTAAAAGAAATTGAATAATACCGAACAAATCCAACAGGTATTATTAATGATGAATTATTTGTAACGAAAGTTTTCATTAAATTGGAAACTTTATAAGTGAACATCAATTTATTCCATTTAATCATGAGAATGTTGATTAAGCGAATATTTTTAATGAATTAGTTTGCTAAAACAAATGAAAAACTCAGTAAATAATTATGGTAATAGAATAATTTAAAATACATAAATCTTATTTTTAAATAAATCAGAAGAAAATTGTAATGAGTGTTCATTAACTCATTTTTATTCTATAAGATGTTAAGTTATACCCAACCATAAAGTATCCAGTATCATACAAAAAACTGTAAGCTTTTGCCCACGAATGCCCTGGTATGGCCGAGAGTGGGGAGAGTCAGCTCTCCCTCTCCAAATGCTCTCTCATGGCCACGCGTATACAGTCTCTGACAGGGAAGTCCTACCCACTGCCTCCTCGTGGCGGGGGTGTTGTTTACGAAAATGAGAGGACGAAAAGCGAATGTCCGGCCCTTTAACCGGATTCCAAACAAATGGTGCACATGGGCTACAGTATCCTGAAGGAACGAATGGCGTATGAACCAATTAATGGTCACCGGCTTCCATGGAACTGCATCTCCTTACGATGCTCTACTGCCTTGTGGATCAGACCTTCAGGTCGAAGGCTTGGAGGGTGGCTCCCAAAGAAAACCACCTGCTTCAGTTCGGGCACCCGGGTAGTATCACAGCCCTCACACATATCGAATGAGATTTGTGTGGCGCATATGTATTTGGTGCCTCCTTGTACCAATATCTATGTGTTAAAATAAATAAAATAATAAATAAGCTTTTGTAGATCGAATTTACGAGATGATCAATATATGATTAGTGAGGTGAGTTTCGTGACTAACAAATATAGTAAAAGATCTATCTTAACTGGTTATTATAAAAAGTAGATTTTGACTAATTTACTTATCAGATATCAGTTGTAACCAATGTAATTACTGATACATATGTGAATTAGTTCAAATTGTTACACCATATATCAGCAAAAAGAGATCAAGTTATTTCATGGAATATGATGGATAACTTTAGAAGTTTTATTTAAGTCAGCTTGACATCTTTCGCCAGTTAAATGATAGAGAATAAAACTTTTAATCGCCCCTAACAATCTTTTACTCAATTAAGCCAGACAGAACCCAGTGGTATGATGTTACTTTATGTTTTTCATCAAAATTAAATGTAACTGATGAATGAATGTTAATTACAAGGTTAAATAAAGTAACTTTTTCATCTTTATCTTTCAATACTATGAAGATATCACTCTGAATACGACAGTTAATTGTTGACTGATTATTCTTTAGTTTTGTAAGATAAATCTCTGCCAGAAAAATACCCAGTGGCGATTTCATGGCTACACAATCAGATTGTTCGTCTTATTCATTGTTGAACTGGAAATGGAGATTTATCGTAACACTAAACATCATCTGCCTTGGTTAAGCAAAGAATAGTTAAGGGCAATTAAGAGCTCTATTCCCAGTCACTTACTTGATATGGGACACCAAGTTAACTGAAATAAAGCTTTCAAAGTTAACCAACATACTGCATCAAATTTTACGGCATGATCTAACGGCCCGTCTTTTACACACTGTGCAACTATAAGAATTCACATTTAGAAACCTAACCTTTGTACTTAAAGGATGTTTGTAGAATGCTTACCTAGGCAGACGACATATAGCATGAAAAAGTGGATTATAACAGAACACTGACTCATCACGCTCATTCAAAACCATCTAATTTTCTTTCAGTTTGTGTTTCTATATAGTTCATAAATTCTACTGTTTGTTCTAACGCAAATACCATAAAATTTACTTTCGATCGAAATATCTTGTTAACTCTTTTACCATATATCCAATCTAGCAACAACTGATCAACATGTTTTTCTTGGAAATCATTACTTTTATTAGTATAATGCTAATACTCGGTTATCATATATATTTAGTGTACAGTGAGAATGTAAAACCATTAGTCCTTTTTAATAAATGTCTGAATGAGGATGTTTCTGTTTGATCAATCTATTAATGGGAATTAACACGTGACTCGGATTTCCATACACTTTTTCATATTCACACAACTTTATCAAGCAGATTGATTAATTTTTTTAGGATTAGTCTAGCCTTAGGGATTAACCAATTAACTTCTTTCTATCAACTAGGCTACAAGGTGTAACTACTGATAAATCAACTTCATCTCCACTAGTTATTAATAAACTTAACATTATTGTTGTGAATTAACACTGGAACTAACAAAGTATAATGCTGTAGAATGATGACTTGAATGTTAGGATATTCAACTTTTAATTCTTAGGTTTTATATCCGAATCCTACCCCATCTACTTTGACTAGGGATTGATAAATATTCATTGACGAAAAGGATGGATTAAAATCAAATACATTAACTTGTATATCGATAATAAATTACATTGGGTATAATTCTTAGTGTTATAAATTCATTAATACCCTAGAAACAGACGGATGACAGATTTGAACCCTGCGTTTTTATTATTTTTGCTTCAATATAATCATCAATACTGATTTGGTCATGAAGCATTAGAAATGTGTGTAATTTAAGATAAGAATCTAAAAACATAAGATATAACTTTATTATTCAAATTACTTTTGAACAACGTACATATGTATGTCTAGAAGAAATGATATATCAGTTGAATAATATCAACTTTTAAACGCAAATTATTGGAACTTTGGATCTATGATTAAATTAATAGTACACTAAGAGCGAAAAAATACCCCAAGCAATTCAATTGATTAGAGCAATGATGCAATTAAAACAAACCGTAGAAAATTCAATCACAAACATGACATATATGACTAAGAAATAGAGAGAAGACAAGAAAAAACAGATCATTTTCAAGAAACATTCTCTTATTTTTTTCCCTTCTTTTTCTCAAAAACAAACGTAAGTCCTCTCACATGATGCCCCCATCAAAAAAAAAAACAAATATTATGACGTTACACATTGAAAGAAAACAAGGTTGTAAAATAACCTAATGTCTAAGAACCGTTAGATTTCCGGTTGTTTACCAGAGTTTAAAATTTCCTCTAATTCATCCAGCGTCCAATAGACATGCTTTAGAAAGTCATCATTTTCATTATTATTATTAGTATCAATTTGCACAAGACGAATTCCTGGTTGATCATTACCTAATTGGACACAAACGGATGATGAACTGATCATTGAAAATGATTTATCAGTATTGTTGTTATTGGTGTGATCATTATTTTCATTAATTATTAATGGGGTATAATTTGCTATAATGTTTTTATGTAAATGGCCAGCGAATGCATAATAAATTTTATGTTGATAAAGTTTATTGACAAATTCTTTACGATAATTTATTGGTATATTGAAATAATTATCTGGTTCATTTATATCTTCTAAGAAAAATGGAATATGCTAAAGAGAAAAAATAGGGGGAAAAGAACAACAACGACAATAAAAGTTGAACGAGAAAAATTATAAATTAGACTGACTAGACTATTGATACTAATATGATTGGATGTGAAAAATTGATTGATTCACTCAATCAATCCAAAAGTGAAAAGCTACCATATACCAAGATATTTTATAGATTTGATGACCAGACTTACGTTATGTAGAAAGAGATGTAGCAGCGATAGATTAGTGGCATACGAAGCAATCGACATCAACGGTTAGAATGACGTATGTGAATATAAATCGCTTTAAAAAAATTACTTACTAAGTACAAGTTTGTATGATGAGCTGCAGCCCACATTTTCTATGTATAAGCTAGTGAAAATACATAATGCACTAAACTGTGTTAGGTAAGGATGAGTTCGAACCCATGACCTACTGATTGGGAGTCTATTGTTTTGGTCAGTAAATCATGACACTAATCACTATGCCTCGAAAACAATAGTTGTACTATTGAGACATAAAAGATAAATAGGGAGATTTACACAAAAATAGTTTACTTGAATTTTCTAGGTTTTACGCTTTTAAAACACTGATTCATTCATCCATAGACAGTATGAACTTGCTAAAACTCATAATATTGCAGTAGGGAGGAATATTAACAAGATAGAAACCAAAAGAATGAGACCAATAATAACAATATCAACGGTAGTGAGGATAATGAATTTGGGAATAATAAATAATATGCATTATGTGTATATGAACAGTCAACAAATCGTTCAATGGTACTATTATAACTACTTGGATTCAAAGTGATTACTAGTAATCAGTTTAGTGGAAATCCAATTTCTCAGTGGTTACTTGATTTTTAGTGTTAGATAGTTAACTGGCTGGTTACGACTAACAATGTTAGACATGTTCGCCTCGTCTGGTTAATCAGGTATGACAACTTGAGCCAACACGCACATCTGTCCCAGGCTCTATTTTGATTATGTCTATCTGTTCTGATAAAAATAAAACAACTTTAGCCAACGAAGTGATAGGAGTAACAAGAAACTAATTTTATTTAGTTCAAAGATTCGGTTTGTTAGGTAAATGGGGATAAAATGCTAATTTTAGAAATCGTGAGTATTAAACCTAGTTTTAAAAGGAATTTTTATCACATACACTAATTCTAAGCCACAATTATGATAATAAAGATGATCTCTGTATCATGTAATTTAAATCCTTTTCAGTGACAGACGAGATTTTATGATAGTTCACCATAACTAGAGAAAGGTACAAATCAGTAAAATATCAAATTCGTAGATTTAACATATCAATTAAGAAACAAAAAAGAAACTAATACTCGTTGGGGCAATACAATATATAGGTAAAAAAGAAATCAAGGGATTAGTATTCACTAAGAAATGAATGAAACTGTCTCTAAAACTGGTTTTTAACCACAAAATTTGACGTTGGTTAAGATCACCGACTTTCAACCACTAAGTCCCTGGTTCGAAACTTGCTTTGCTTACTTCGATTTTGGCAGCCGGATAGTATCATTAGTCCTTGCACTTAATGTAGCTCACACCCAAGTGCCTAGTGAATGATTTAACTTTTTTCTTCAATCATTAATTTGTCCTAATTAAATTAAAAATGAAAGCCTACAAATATCAACACAAATTAGAGCAACTCTAAGTGACGTAAGAAACTGTTTACACATTCTTATTCGGTGTTTTATCGAGAGTATTGAAACATTTATCTGTTAAAACACATCGTGACAACGGATGGGGCTGCGAAATTGAGTTGTGCTTTATCTACCTCCGTTTCAGAACATGAAGCTCGAAGGCAATTCAGTCAGTCAACTACAACGTAGGACCAGGCACGTATGTGTATCGGTAAAAGTTGCCACACCTCATTAGAACGAGATGAACAACGAATTCATAGAAGTAACTAATTAAGTGGTGGTAATATATAAAAGATTGCATATAAGGATATAGTACAGGAAGAAAGAAAGATATGAAGCGATTTTAATCTCACAGTTTAGGGGAAGACAGAGAGTGTATACACCAACGCCATTGTGATCGGTTCTCGGTCATGTCACCAAGAGTCTCCAACCATTGGTTACGATAGTCACACTGAACCCAAACAAGTAGTCTGCATCTACAAATATGGCTCAGACTAAAGGTTAGCGTCTTCAAGCACTGATGACACGTTTTGGTTTGGCCGCCCCTAATTCTCTTCCAACCGTCTCTAACACCCGTTAGCATTGCACGATGTGGTAATCGGTGTTCAGGCATACGTAACACGTGACCCAACCATCTCAGTCGATGAAGATCCACAACCTCATCGACTGATTCACCATCCTTCCCTAATACCCGGCGTCTAACCTCACTATTACTTACCCAGTGATTCCAGCAGATGCCAGCAATATTTCTAAGGCATCTGTGGTCAAATACTAATAGCTTACGAGTATCTTCTGCCCTTAGTGGCCGCGTTTCGTAGCCGTAAAGTAGGACAGAATGGACTGCCGCACAGTATAATCATCCCTTAATTGATAGACGGATATCTCGCCATCTCCACTTGTGACGTGAGTCGGTAGAAGCCAAACGAGCCTCCTGAACCCGCGCAGAGATTTCGTCAGGTATCAAGTGAGTGACCACACTAGGATCCCCGTATGTGGGTTTCAGAGACACGGCATACATCGATGGTAAGAGATTCTAGGGCTTTAGCCAAGGAGGCCTGCTAGCTGATTTGACATAGGATGGGTAGGTTGAAGGCTCCAAGGTGTAATTTGGAGCAAGGTTTCAGCAGACCCTGGACAGTGTTTCGCGCACTAGAATCGTTGGTCAGGGTGACACTTGAGGAGGAAGTCAAAAAAGCAAGTTTAGAGTTGGAAGTCGAGGTAGGAGGACTAATAGGAATTGAAGAGGGAGATTGGTTATGAATACAATGATCTTGAGTGCTATTAGGGGATGAGGGCGGTTATTACTTCCAGATTTCCCACACCGTGGAACGGTTCTTCTGGAGGTACTTGAAAAAAGAAATTGGGTTACAGATGGTTCTAGTGACCTGAGAGCGTGGTCGCAATGCCCATGGGACAACTGCTTGAAGTCGGTCACACACTACCTTCTTATGAGTAATTCTTGTGTTAGCTCCGTACTTGCTGAGACCTTACCGCCGGAGACGGATATCCGTGGGATAAGGCGAGGTGTGTATCTTTAGGGTCGACCTTTTCAAACTCCACCCCTCCTCGTAGGAAGCCCGACCGAAGCTGCTACGCGGTGGTCGGGCTTGCCTATCGCGATGACCCAACCGAGCTATATTGGCTGGAACATATGTTCCTGTAGGTTCTACCATGCCAGGAAGGTCGATTGGAGAATGGTAAGACTAAAAGCAGCAGCTCAAGGTCTGAGGGCGAAGTCGTACTGCTGCCGACTCGATTCACACTTCGTGTATCTGGAAGCCCTGATTCTGCTTCCCGTGGCCTCGCCGGCGTAAGTATAGTATTGAGTCCTAGGGCAGAACTAGCTCACTTAGAGTGGATCCCAGTAGACAGTCGTTTGTGCGCTGTCCGACTGAACGGAACAGTAAGGATCCGAAAAGATAGGGACACTCGTCGTTGCCTCTTCGTCGTCTCTGCCTATTCCCCCACTGACTGCAGCGCAGATGATGTAAAAGATAAGTTTTACAGAAAGCTCTCCGACTTCCTCCTAAAAGCTAGGCGCTCGGATGTAGTAATAGTGGCCGGTGACTTTAATGCTCAAGTAGGTAAACTATGCGATAGGGAAAGACACCTGGGTGGATATTATAGTGTCGTGGCTCAAAGAACAGATAATGGCGACCGTCTGTTGCAGCTATGCTCAGATAACCGCCTCTTTCTTGCAAATACTAACTTTAAGCATAAGGGAAAACATCCTTTAACATAGAGACCCCCTAATTCGTCCCAACGTTGGACCCAAATAGATCACATCGCTATCAGCCACCGATGGAGGGGCTCGATAGAAGACTGTCGCTTATTCTGGAGCACATGCTTAGATTCAGATCATGCTCTATAGTACGAGCGCGTATCTGTCTGCGTCTTACTGGACATAGGAAAGACGCTGCAAGTAAACCTTTAGGGCCCTACTTAATGATAGTCAAGTTAAGAGTATATTTCAGGAACAACTAGGAAAACAGTTAGGCAGCCATGTATGTGATGCCCACCCCGAGGCAGCATGGAATGATATCCGAAAAGCTGTGGAAACAGCAATGATATCTGCTAGTACGGTAACCAGTAAGGTTAGGGAGCAACACTGGATCTCAGCAGCATCTATCGCACTGATAGATGCTCGGAAACTCATTCCACCTGGCTCTGAACATAATGAAAAGCGGAGTCAGCTTAAGCGCAAGCTCACAAGAAGTCTACGCAATGATCGTGAACAGTGGTGGGTAGCGAAAGCAAGAGGGATGGAAAAGGCAGAGGCAAAAGGTAATAGCAGACAATTGTTCAGACTTGTTAAGGAAACCGACTGCTAGCGAAACACTCCCAGAGAAAGATGGACATATTATACATTCTCAATCCAGGAGATTGGATCAATGGGCAGAACACTTTAGGGATCAGTTCAACTGGCCTTCAGCCACACTTCGGTTTCCCACGATCTCCAGTCAACCTGAATGGCAAGTTAATGTGGGTCCTCCGTCTATTTACGAAGTTGAAAAAGCCATAGGAAATTTGAAGCGAGGGAGAGCAGCAGGCCCTGACAGGTTTACTCCTGAGATTTATAAGGATGGTGGTTCAGTATTAGCAGTGAGATTAACTGAGGTCTTAGGTAGAATTTGGGAACTGGACGTAATCCCATCTGACTGGTCTCAATCACTGATTGTGCCAGTCTATAAGAAAGGACAAAAGTCCTCTTGTGACAATCACAGAGGAATCAGTTTGACTAATATAGTGTCTAAAATATTAGCTTCAATAATACTTCGACGCCAAACCAAAGCTCGTGAAGAGCAGACTAGAGAAAATCAGGCTGGTTTTCGACCTGGACGTGGTTGCATAGATCCGATATTCACACTACGTCAGGTTTCAGAACACAGACACACGTTCAGACGCCCCACAATGGTAGTATTTCTCGACCTTAAAGCAGCATTTGACTCTGTCGATCGTAACGTTCTATGGCAGTGTTTGTCACTGAAAGGAGTACCAAAGAAGTTAATTAACCTTATAAAGACTCTCTACTCGAACACAACTGGTAGAGTGAGAGTTTATGGCGAACTGTCATCAAATTTGATTACCTCAAATGGTGTTCGTCAGGGCTGCCCACTCTCTCCATTCTTGTTCAAATTTGTCGTTGATGTGCTTTTAGAGATAACACTTTCCTCGTCTAGATTTCCACGGGTTCAAATTCTACCAGGAGGTTTACTTGTTGACTTAGAATATGCCGATGACATAGTTCTATTTGGTAAAGACGCTGACAAAATGCAGTCTTCTGACCACTTTAAGCAACAATACCAACATGTTCGGGATGCGATTCTCTCCCTCGAAATGCAAAATGTTACTACAGGATTGGGTTGCATCGACACCTAAACTAATGATAGGGAGTGAAGTAATTGAGCGTGTCGATCGCTTCACTTATCTTGGAAGTCTCATCAGCCCTTGTGGTCTGGTGTGTGACGAAATCTCAGCACGGATACAGAAGGCTCGACTAGCTCTTGCCAACTTGCGTCATTTATGGCGTAGGCGAGTTATCCGTCTATCAATCAAAAGACGTGTTTACTGTGCAGCAGATCGTTCCATCCTACTTTATGGCAGTGAAACGTGGCTGGTAAGAGTAGAGGATATTCGTAGGTTACTAGTATTTGATCATAGGTGTCTTCGAAATATTGCTCGTATATCGTGGGACCATCGAGTAAGTAATGCAGTTGTTAGGAAACGGGTACTAGTTAAAGATGAAGTAGTGAGACTTCATCAGTTGAGATGGCTCGAACATGTGTTACGTATGCCCAACGGTCAACTGCCTCGGCGTGCGATGTTCAGTGGTATAGGAGTAGATTGGAGAAAAGCTAGGGGCGGCCAGACCAAAACATGGCACAAGTCCATGAAGTCACTGACAAGTGGACTGAGTCATGTTGGTAGGTGTAGACTACCTGGTTGGGGACCGCGAGATGATAGCAACCGATGGTTAGAGACCCTGAATGACATGGCTCAAAATCGTTTGCAACGGCGCAGGTGCATACACTCTTTGTGTTCTCCCAAATCTTGATCTCCTTATCCCTCCTTGTCTCTTTTTTTCTCTTCTCAAATTTATTTCACTGTATTATACTCTTTAAGTAGCATCTCCAAACACTAATCTTCCCGATTACTGCTTATACTCCTATTACCTCTTCCACTACGGGATTTGAATCGACCACTGCATCTCTGTGCTAATGTGATGTGGCAACTCGAACTGATGTACGTACGTACGAAGTTCTACGTTGTTACTGACTGACTGACTGACCTCGTGGGAAGGCGGCATCACTGTTATGCCAGTTGTCTGAAGGAAACATCTTACTGCCGTCACACCTCTGTACAGTCAGCAGTACGGCTTCGTCCTCAGACTCTGAGTTTACTGCTTTTAGTCTTACCGCTGTTCAACCGACCTGCCTGGCATGGTAGGACCTTGAGGAATGATGGTTCCAGACAGTATAGCTCGATTGGTTTATCGCGACAGGCAAGCCCAACCACCACGTCAACACAGCAGCAACCGTCGGGACGAAGGCAAGTACGAGGACATGCAATTAGTCAGTGTGATAATCTACTACTCTTAGATGAGGTCATGGAGACTGTAACTCAATAGCCAAGATTTTACCATGAATGGCTCCAAAATTATTTACTGATAATATTTCGGTAGTTTTCGGCTATTTTTCACGAACACTGAAGTGTACGTTTTGCGATGTATGGAATTTATCTTCGTCGCACTTTTTATATCAGTTTATACTCTTCAGAACTTTTACCTTTGTTAGTCTGTATGATTTCTCTCGTTTTCTTCCTACTGCCAATTGTGACAGGAGTTTTTTGTTATAGATAGCTAGTATTTCCAATCAACTGTGAAAAATAGCAATAAAAAAAGCTGAATTGAGAAATAAACAGCACCACGAATAGGTGCGACGTGTTAATTTACACGTGCTAAAGTTTCTCCAGTGTTCTTACCTTAGTCAACGTAGACTTTTATAGCAATTTGTGGTCACAAATGAGTACTATATCTTGCCACTATTTTAGGATAGAGTCAAAAACCACTATTTGACTTAAATAACCTATAACGCCAGGAAGAACTTCATAATACAGATTGTGGTCAGACCATGGAAAATGACGGAGATATGTAAAGCGTGATGTTTTGAAAAATATGGAAATATAGGACCAAAAAGTGCGGGCAAAGCATTATCGATTATCACTTATTTTGAAGTAATATGTATATTTACCTGGAATACAACCGACATATCAAAATTTTCATTTTTTATAGAGAGTTGTTCATTGAACCACTGACGAAATTCACTGGACGAAGATTGGCACTTCGAGTCATTCACTAGGTATTGAGTATTAAGTACAATAAACCTTGTTCGGTTAAATATGAAAGTAAAGTAATCATCTCCCCACATGCTTATATAGTCCTGCACGTCATTTACATCAGGGCGGTTCCCAACATCATGATTTCCTGGAAGCACAATAAGAGGGATATCACTGTTGAGATGAGACAGTATTTCCAGCAAATCAGATGTTTGTTTACATCTATCAGAACCACCTGGATGATCGTTAACAAGATCCCCACAAATGATAACAAAAGCTGGCTTCGGACAAAGACGATTTATGATACTTACTGCCCTACTAACAAGCTTCACTTCCCTATCCCAGTGGTGGGGTCGAGGACGTTTCTCCACATACTGTTCAAGTAAACCAAGCTGTGGGTCAGCAATAATTACAAAACGAAATGGAGTTGAGACATCTGTAGACGTAGGAAGTGACAGGTGCCGATTTTTAGCTGTGCATAAGGCAGAACAATGAATATCGACAGATTCCATATTTGAAAATCAACTAAACAAAAGAAAAAAGCAGAAGATACCAGAACAGCATATGAAACAACTTGGATAGATATTTATTGTTTTAGTAGAACTTTTCTTCTAAACTGAGAGTCAGTTCAACGATAGGAGAAAATGTTCGATCTACCTTTAGAGCCTTAAAACACGGTAATAGACATTCCTCAAGACGGCAAGAGGATTTCAAATGACTCAAATTTTACTGCCAATAAATAAAACATGATAACATGTTAAATTCTACATATGATAGAGAAGCTACGAGGTTTAAAGCAGATCAAATTTGATATACATGATCCCAGACTAATACTAATATTTGCTGCATGTCATTACATCTAACATCTAATTATATTCGGACTTTTATTAAGAGAGGACACTAAGATGAAATTAACGATATGAGCTACTTTATTATATATGACGGAATAATGCCCATTATTTTACAAATATTAAGAATTGCAGAAAACTTTTAGCTTCCAATCGTATGGAAACATTATCGGGTACTTAGAACAGTGTTCTAAAAGATTTAGTGTCACTGTAAGCTATGTGAGGGTATTTTTCTGTTTTGATTGCCGAATTGACCACAGCTTGCGTCTAACCATTACTAAGTCTTATCGTTTACTTTCGTAAGTAAATATTTAAAAAATCTCTGTTTAAAGATGTTTACATGTTCAATCACATCCTTCCCAGATTTTAATTTCGATCGAACCTATTACATCTGTCAGTAATATACATAACTTCATTCGATCTCAGGGCTTCAAACGAAGACCGGATAGAAACAAATAGACAGCTAAATGATACACTATAATGTTTATAGTACATATGTATGAGCAAAAATATACTACCTTCCCAACACAACTGAGTTTGAGAATGCGAGTTCTAAACCTTGGGCCGCGAAACAACAGCTTAAGAGATATTATTGAGGGATATAACTGAATTGCATGCTAAAAACACAGTGAACTGTTAATGGGACTGATTCATCATTATGGAGCAGAAATTCTATCGTATGAATCCATGTATGAGAACTGTATTTGGTCTGATACAAACCATGTTACTATTATAAACCGATTGAGATTGATCAACTCTTGTACATCACGGACTTGTGATGTACAAATGTCGAGATTTAGATGTAATGACAAATTCACTAATGACAAAACAAAATTCACTACAGAATTATTCAGATCCCAGGTGAAGATTACTGTCATATGTGAAACGAGAATAATGCTTTCGAATGGAGCCAATACCAACCTTAATAATGATGTTATGCTGAGTAGTATACGAGATCGGATAACTTGGTAAGTTATGATGTGGTACTAGGAGCATCCAACGACAACAAAAGATAAAAGTGAGATAGTTATGAGTCGTAATAAATTAGTTGAAACAAAGGTCAGTCTTATAAACTTTGAGGCTATAAAATTTTCAGTAAGAATTCTCTAGAACGAAACTACACGCCGGGCACATGTGTGAAAGCGATTAAGTAACACACCTAAGGAACAGTGCGCTTATCTTTAGCTCATTGTCAATTGAACAAGGTAAAGAATAGCATAACGTTCATTTTGATAATGTTTATTTCTTCTGATAGAGGGTAAACTGAACTTATGAGTTTACACTATAACAGCTTTAAGTATCTTTTTGTCTTCAAACTTACAGCCGACCGCGCTTTTCGAACGGGAAGTTTAGTCCTAACGTGATTTGCATTTATCAAACTTTTGCTGTGTTCTTACGCAACAAAAGTACCATTTCAGTTCTAAAGAATCTATCCTGAGCTATACGTTCGGCAGATTACTTTTTTTTGAGTTTCACTATATTTAATAGTTACCTGTGGTTTTGCCTCAGCTTACTATTCGGTTTTTTTTGTTTTTCACGTATAGACTAGTTTCAGTTTATATCACTCGTTTTGTCCATTTTTGTCCGTTTTCAGTGTGCTTTTTAGTGTTTTTTTTAAAAGGTCCTAGGCTCTTGCAAGCATCTATAACATAATTTGCTTCAACACCGTCATGAAAAACTCATGCAAACGTCCGGGATGCCGTTTTGCTGTCACAACTGGCATGCAGTGCGACAACTGCAAAGGTTGGTTCCACGAAGCATGCACAGATCTGACAGCAACTGCTTACAACAGACTCAGCAAGTCAGAGCAAAAGTGGGTGTGTGTCACGTGCAACACAGACTCCGTAGTCTTGCTGAGTAACATCATTGTCCTACTGACAAGTCTTCGGAACAAGTTGTCAGTTAACTTGGAATACGATAGTAAAAAAACTGATATACAAACAAGAGAGTGCAACGGACTCAAAAACAGGGATATCGGTAGGTATTCCATCGATGGAGCATCCATCCACACTAACGACGACGTGTCGAGGCTCAGTACCATCATTACGTCGACGGTACTGAACTCCCTAGGCAAACTCGGGTCTCCCAGCTCAGGGTCCCCGAACACAACAGTGGTTGCCAAAAACCCTGCATGTGATTCGACCCACGTTAAGAGAGCCCAAAAGAACCAGGCATCACCGCCTAAGCCGAGCAACCCAAGAGTTGCTGCACGGAAAATAACTGGTAATTTAGTCGCACAGTCTACCCCCAAGACTGTTCGTCCGGTCAATAAAGAGCCCATGATTCATAAACGCACACTGACCTCCAAACAACAAGTTACTAAACCTGAACCCATCGTGAAACCTGGTAAATTAACAACAGTTCGTGACGATTCTCTCATTATCATGAACCTCGTTGACAAGCCTGATCTTCCTCTCAGTCTGCAGGACAAAAACGACAGGATGCTCTGGGGTGAATTGAACAGGAAGCTCGAACTTCCTAGAATAGAGCCTTTGACGGTCACCCGGCTTACTCGAGGAAAGGATTCTAAGCATCTAAATCACCCGAGGCTTCTCCGAGTAACACTTAAGGCTGCTACCGACGTAGAGGACGTCTTGCTAGCAAGCCACTTGCTGAAATCAGATGGTAACGTAAGAATACTGCCCGACATACCGTACTCTGAGCGCAGTATCATACGAAACGTCCCTAAAGAATCTCGTGAGAAGTTTTTCCGCGGAAGAAACATAATTGTCCAAGGTATACCGGAAAATGCAGACCCTACTCAATCAAATTCTGACATCAGGGAATGGAAATTCATCAAACAGTCCTTGAGGCTCAAACACATACTGACTCAGCATGTGACGAGACTAGCCAAGAAGGACGGTGATCTTAGACCCCGTCTAATGAAGATAACCTTCCCATCTTCCCACATGGCGGCTGCAGTTCTGGAAGCATTTCGTGCTAATAGACGTCGATTGCCACCTGGAATCCACATGCACCCGGATAGGCCATACGAAGTTAGGACCAAGAACAAAGACAAGTTGGAGCTGACCATTCCACTTGTGGACTGTCTAAACGATAAAAAAACGTGTAAAGGACAGGGCCTACCACCTCGGCAAACCTCACATAGGTGGGCTACCTGTCCATTCACATAAGGTTCATACAGAAAAACAGGACGAAGCTCACGCGTTCCAAATTGAAAGCATAAACTGCTTATATATGAACGCCGCGAGTCTACCAAACAAACTGGATGAACTACGTGAACTAAGCAACGCTAATAAGGCCCATCTGATAGGAATATCTGAAACATGGATATCTTCTCAGTTCTCGGACCAAGAGTTAGCATTGCCTGGGATGACTTTGTTCCGCAACGACAGAAAAACAGGAATTGGGGGCGGAGTAGCCATATACATAAGCTCTTGCTTGGAGGTGCACAAGGTTCACAACCTCGAGTTTAACAATCTTGAGGAATCCATATGGTGCTCTGCAAGATTGTCTAGTACTTCCAGGTGTCTAGTCGGAGTCATTTACAGGAAGCCAACTGCCGACACCGAGTACGATAGTCGTATGCTGGAAGGACTATCCCGCTCTATCCGTCTCGGTTTCACACACATCCTGATTCTAGGGGACTTTAATCTCCCTAGAGTCAACTTCGCGGAACACACGTACACTGGAGGCGACAACTCAATTGAAGCTCGGTTCTTCAACCTCATCGATGACTTGGGCTTATATGAAAATGTGAGGTCGGCAACTCGTTGGAGAAACAGTCAGACACCATCGCGCTTAGACTGTGTATTCACTAACGAAGAATTCCTAGTCGACAACCTCTCAATCCTGGCTCCTCTGGGAAAGAGCGATCATGCCGTCATAGCCTTCAGTTTTGTCATCAAAACTAAGCTAAGGTATCCCAACAATAATTTGCGTTGGAATTTTAGACGGCTGAATGTGCCAGCTCTACATGACTATCTACAACAGGTGGTTTGGGATGTTCACCCTCAAATCGATGTGGATGGTCATTGGGACTTCTTACTGCACACGCTCTTATGTGCTACAGACCATTCAGTTCCTCAAACGGTTCCCAAAAGCTGCAAGCCACCTACAGTAATCAAGAACCGTACCCTTCGCCTCCTAAGCCGCAAACGGCACTGTTGGGCGGAATACAAACGAACTAATAACGATGGAGTGTATAGGCAATACAAACATATCAGGAACATATGCACGAAGGCTATAAGAGAAGACAGGCTTCAGTACCAAACAAAGCTTATGGACAAATTCGCCTCTAACCCTAGAAGCCTATTCCGTTATGCAGCCTCTCTTCGTCAAGCCAAAACAGGAGTTTCTCAACTGCTAGATCTTAACGGCCCGACCAACAACGATGGCGACGCCGCTAACCTTCTGGCGGCCCATTACTCTCAAACATTTCAACCGGCTGACATCAACTTTATTGACGACAGTTTCATCTGCAGTTCCACAGGACTTTCTGAAGTGGACCTAAGCGCTGACTTGGTGTTCCGGAAATTGCAGCACTTAAGACTTGACACTTCTCCTGTCCCGGATACGGTTCATCCTGCCATACTGAGGGAGGCAGCCTCAATCCTGGCAACACCGCTTAGCGTGATGTTTTCACACTCGCTTAGCCGAGGCAAATTACCGGAAAATTAGAAGTTGGCTCACATCACACCAATTTTCAAAGGAGGTCGACGCAATGAACCTTCAAGTTATCGGCCGGTGGCTCTTCTGTCATTACCTTCAAAACTCATGGAGTCCCTGATATGCGACGGTTTAAATGACTATCTACTGTCCTTAAATTTCTTCTCACCCCAACAGCATGGTTTCAGGAAGGGTTACTCTTGTATAACCAACCTGCTGACTGCGGTGGACAGATGGACAAGCATCCTCGATTGCAAGGGAAAGGTTGATGTCATTTACCTTGATTTCTCAAAAGCTTTTGATAAGGTTAACCACTTGTGTCTTATCAACAAGCTCAAACGACTAGGTATCAAACCACCCCTAATCGATTGGCTTACTTCATACCTAAAAAATCGACACTTTAAGGTTAGGGTTAATTTCACTTTATCTCAGGCTATGGAATGTCCTAGTGGGGTCCCCCAGGGCTCAGTACTAGGGCCTCTTCTCTTCTTGATCTACATAAATGATCTTCCTCAACAGGTAACGTCAGATTTATTACTTTTTGCCGACGACGTGAAACTTTGGAGAGAGATACGCAACCAAGACGATACACAGGCACTTCAGGAGGATCTGACTCGACTTCAAAGTTGGGCAGACGATAACGGACTTACCTTTAACACTTCAAAGTGCAAAGTAGTCCATCTGCGACATGTCGCAAACTACAGTTGCAACTTAGGAAACTCCTCTCTAGTAGTATCCCAAGTCGAAAAAGATTTAGGAGTCCTGGTGCCCCATGACTTAAAGTCTTACGCTAACTGTGACAAAAATGCCTTCCGAGCAAACCTCGCACTGGTAACGTTGAAGCGCATTTTTGGCCAGTTTGACGGACGAACTTTCTATACAATCTTCAATAGTTTCATCCGTCCCCATTTAGAGTACGGAAACATAGTACTCCCCCCTCACTCCAAAAGGACAAGGTCACTTTGGAGCGTATCCAACGGCGAGCCACGAAATCAGTTCGAGAACTCAAATCTAAGCCTTACGAAGAACGCCTCCGTTCACTAGACCTTTACCCATTAGAATATAGGCGTGTTAGAGGTGATTTACTAATGGCTTATAGTATTCTTAACACTTCTGGACATCCTCTTAAACACCTACTTAAGCTTAGTTCGAATAATAACCTAAGGAGTAACACCCAGAAACTGGAAACACAACATAGCAAGACGGAATGTAGACACAACTTCTACTCCTTAAGAGTTGTCAAAAGCTGGAATTCGCTGCCGGCCGAGCTAGTCCAAGCGACTTCTCAGGAGTCCTTCAAGAGGCAACTTGACCTATTCTTAAGGACCAAGGACAGCATCACATTATGATTTACCAATTTCTTTTCCTTTTTTATTGTTAACATACCTAGGTTCCTGCCTGGAGGATTTGGTGATCCCCTGCTACTAGACACGGAAGCCTGTTAAGCGAAAGCTTCTTCTATTCCATCCACAACCATTTGAACCATTTGAACACCATAGATGTACGATCAGACGGCACTTCAAATGATTCGAATGGTTCTAAAT